TTGTAGCAGGAACTCCTTTGCATGTTAGGCCACACACCCCTAATGTAGCCAATCCAAATGAGTTTCTGATGTTGGGTGTGGCCTATTATGCTAATGAGTTCCTGCTGGGCGTGGCCAACTTGGAAGCCAGCCGGAACTCCGTTCCTGTGCGTTCCTGCCCAAAAATAGCCCTGCTTTTTTTTTCTTTTTTCTTTTTTACCCTTTGGAGAGGGGGGAAATAAACTGAGGCTTCAGAGATACAGTATCTTTATGGCTTAGGGTTTCACTCCCTGCCTTGCGCCAAAACAGAGTATACAGACAGGGAAACAGAAACTCAGCAAGGAGACACTGGAGAACAAATGCCACTCCGCTTTGGACACCCAAGCGGTGCCAAACCTCTGTGTGGACGCAGCCGGCAAGTAGGCTCGGGTCTCTGTGGAACAGGCAGCCGTTTAACTCTGGACATATGAACACAGGAAGCGGCCTTCTACTGAATCAGACCCAGGGTCCATCAAAGTCAGTCTTGTCTACTCAGACTGGCAGCCGCTCCCCAGGGTCTCAGGCCAAGGTCTTTCACATCACCTGTTCCTTTTAACTGGGGGTGCCGGGGGATCGAACCTGGGACCTTCTGCACGCCAAGCGGAAGCTCTACCACCAAGCCACAGCCCCTCCCTCTCCAGGCATAAAGCGTCAGAGACGATCTCAAAAGCGCCGGAACACGTTTGACAGAAGAAAAGCCCATTGAAAGAAAGGAGGTTTATTCAAAGGGGGGGAGGCAAAATATAGAATAATAGAGTTGGCATGGACCCCCAGGGTCATCTAGTCCACCCCCCACGCACAAGGCAGGAAATCCACATATACCCCCCACCAGCACCCCTAGTGACCCCCTTAGGCTCTCTAGGCACATCTCCAAACAGTCTGGAGCTGGTGGCCGAGGCTTTCCCCTTGCAATGGCCCACATTAAGTTGTGGGCAAAAGGCTGCGATCGCACACGCTACAAAACGCACTTGCAAGCCACTTTTCAATGCACTCTCCCATTGGATTTTGCCATTTCACACTGCCCTCACTGTCATTTTGGGGTCCGTCCGTCCCCCTTTTCCACATGTTTTGCTCCCTGTGGGACTGCTAGAGAGAGCAAAACACATTGGGGGGGACGGACCCTGAAGGGATAGGGACAAAGGAGTGACAAAAACGACTGAAAGCCAGTTGGAAAGTGGACTGAAAGTGCATTATTCGGGGTGTGTGAGACCGCAGCCAAAGAGAAACTTGAAGCAAGGAAGCTGTTCCACTTTTTGCAAAAGGGAAACGCACCCGCGCGCCCACGAATCTTTCTTTTATACAGCCCCCCCCCCAAAAAAAACCCACCACACACACACCCAATGCTCCCTCTAAGCTGCGGCGTCTTGTGAGCAAAAATCGAACTTTGTGAGCTACTGGCATTAAAGTTGGGAGCGCGCGATTTGGCTGCTGCATAAAGTAGTTTGCTCGGGAGCCCTCCTTCCTGAGCTGAGCCGGAGGCTAAAAACTGTGAGCTAGCTCACACTAACTCAGCTTAGAGGGAACACTGACACACACCATCCTATATCCAGTTTCCTGTCTTCCCTTCCCAGATGTCAACGGCGGAGGAAAAGAAAGTTTCCCGCAGGCGCAGGAGAGCCAAGAAGCCAGAGCGCGCTCACCTCCTCCTCCTCCTCCTCTTCCTCCCCTCCAGCCGGGCGCTTCCCCAGCGCGGATCGGCTCCGCCGGCGGGGCCCGGGCAGGCTGCAGTCAGGGGGCTTCACCCACAGCCGTCGACGAGCTCCCGGAGCGCCTTGGGGGGCCTGCCCCGCTTTAGGCCTCTGCGCCAGGCCGGCCGCGTTTCCCGGAGCGGGCCATTTTGGAGCCGCATTTTCAACCCGGCATGGCTTAAGAGGCGCGGGGCGGGGAAAACGGGCAGAGGCCGCGGCCG